TCCCGCTTCCAAGTAATTTTCTGAGCAAGTTTTATAGATTTATTCCTCAAGAAGATTTAGAGATACTGTTTCAACATTTTGACTGTTGTCCTTCAATAAAACTCCACATTAAACCAACAGGATATAGAACTACTGGCTGAATTCACACTTTAGTTAAGCCCTCAGCAGAAAAAAGACCGACCGTGATCAGCAGCTCAATTTCAGTCCTGCGCCCCTGCTACTGGAACGATCTGCATGGTGAACGTGAGGACAAAGGAAAAGTGGAAGGTACGGAGCAGCCCGTGTGCCAGGCGCTGTGCTATGCTCTCCTCAAGGAGTATTCAGGATAGTATTTGCACACCACGGGGGGGGGGATGGAAGAGTTAAAAACTCACCAGTTAGAAGGTAGCTGAGCTGCAGCCCGACTCTGACAGCCTGACAATAGCTACACAGCTATGAAATGAGTTTATCAGAAGGGAAATGTAACGAGTAACTTTTTTTAGCTTAAAAATTATTTTAAGTATATCTTTGTCTTATATTAACTCATATACACAAATTACAAAGTGCTCATTTTCCCAAATGCCACAGAGCTCTGAAAATGATTTGGTGCTATATCCGCCACTTCTTATCCGAGATGATTTTCAAAATATGATTCCGTGAGCCAGGCAGATATTTTCTTTTTGACGAGAAGAAATGAAGGCCTAGAGATACTGTGATTTGACCAAGATGACATGAGTGGGGGCCAGGTGTCCTAATCTGAACCCAGGTCTGCTACTTCCCTGTATCCAGCTCCCTAAAAACTCTTAAAATCTCATACAATGTTTCAAGGTCATTGTTTTCCACTAAAAAGTGACTTCAGTACCCTATAACTTAGGACCTGTGGTTTCACATAGTTACCTCCAATGACAGGAGACTACTGCCTTAGTGTTTCCTAAAGCATTCCTTTGTTCTGTGATTTATCCATGGGTTTCTCCATTCACCACAGGGAGGCCATCATATTAGTTATGTCCTTATGGTTTTTTGTGTTTTTTTTTAAGCTACCTAGATGGATAGCTTTGTGCCCATACCACCAGAAAGAACAATTTCCATTTCATCCATTCAAACATGATCAGGAGCCCCCTGGGTCTCCCCCTCATTCAGTAAGAACTGAAGAAACAGTAATCCTGCACCGCTCCACTAGAGGTTCAGTTCCACGAACAGACTGTAACCACGATCCATCTGAAAACACGATGCCACACTCGGAGTGTTTCTCCATGTCCACAGCAGCATTCTTCCGTGGCTTTCCTAAAAGTTCTAAATATCTTTAAGGTGTTAAGTGTAAAACCAATTACTTTAATCTTTCATCTATCTAATCATCTATGCGTCTGTCCATCTCTTCTTTGTATTGGACCTCACTAGAAGCTACCCAAAGAACTTGGAAAAAGCATGCATGCCTAAAGAAACATCAACATAGAGAGAAAGAGAATGAATTGCACACGAAGTATGAAAACAAGATTGGGGAAGCCAGTGAGGGGGAAGAGTAGAGATGTGTTCATTCGGTTTTATCACCCCCCCCACCGGGCCCTGCATTCTGGAGATTCAGGCAGAAAACACAATTTATATTTTTTGTAGGAAATCCACTCTGAAACAACTTTCAACTGTCTCAGGGATGGCATATTATCAATTTTCTGCTTTTAGTAAAAGATTTAACTCTGGTCCTTTTAAATGCAGGCATTTTCAAAAGTTCACACGCCACTTTGCTTTTGTAAGAGACCTACGTTAGTATGTTTTGCTAAATGAAGAAAATCCAAAGATTTCCACTTTTATGAAAATAAAAGACAAAAAATAAGAAGAGCGTTCCGCGTTTGTTTTGCAGCGGGTCGTTGCCGACGCTGATCCAAACGCTGCTTCCCACGGCACCTCCCGCCGAGCTGCTCTGCCACCTTCTAAGGCGGATTCGGAGGCTTCTCGATGAAACCACCCGACACCAGCTGCCTCCATTTCAGTCACTTTTCCCATTTTCCTTGTTAGGCACCACCAGGTTTCTGCTTAATTACTTTTTGCTGGGTCTAGTTCCGTACATTTGCATCACTGGACGTTTACATATTTGCCCGTCTGCCGGGTTAGTCGGCGAGGGGAGGCTCCCTCCCCCTGAACTCTCGTCTCAGGGAGCCGTGGGGCCTGGGCCTCTGCAGCCTGTTCTAGCCGCCAGTGACCCGCCCGAGGGGACACCCACGGAGCCGGGCCACCCGAGCGTCCTCGGGCCACTCGAGGCCCACGCTCTTCCCGTTTCTCTCCGGTATTACCTATCGATAAACCTCGATCTTTTAGCTGTTAAAAGGCATGGAAAACAGTGGGAGGGAACGAATGCCAATAGCAGTTACCGCCGGAAAATCACAAAACGGGAGTCGGGCCGGGAGGGCCGGGGCTGGTGGTGGCAGGGGGATGGATGATACGGACGGTGTCCATCCTTCTCTTGGGGACCGATTCTTTACACTTTCCAGTGGTCTAAATATTCCGTGATGAACCTGCACGTCTCATATAGAAGTCTGTGCTACAGATACACCGTAAACCCGACGTGGAACGCATGACAACCACGCTCGACATGGACAAAGCTTTAAAGTCGAGCGCAAGGTTATGTATGATTCTAGTACTTTAACACTTTTTGGAAGGCATGTCTCCTATTAAAAGCAGTTGGTTTAAAAAACCCCCACAACCTAATGATGCAGAATCTTGAATTCACAAAACATCAGTGTTGCCATAATTACCTCCCCCAACAAAATGCTTCATTCCATGCAAATCCCCAGCTGCTGCCATCCTGTCCTATGGTTTTAAATACTATCCATATAGTGACTCCCCGTATTTTCCTTTCCCCCCTTAACTTTACATTCATATACCCGATTGCCTACTCAGTGTCTCTGTTGGGATAATACGTATCTCAAAACTCAACATATCCAAAGCAGGATGCAGTCGACACCCTCGTTTGTCCCACTGGTTTTCTGAAACCTCTGCCAATGGCATCACCATCCTTGCTCAGGTCAAAAATTGGCACCTGATTTCTTCTTCACATCTAAATCCTCCCCAAATCCTTTCAGCGTTATGACCAAAAGACATCCGGCATCCGACTTCTCCCCGTGACTACCACCCCAGCCCAGGCTCCCACCTTCTCTCACTTATCCAGAAAGTTCCACTTCAACAGACATGACGTTCTGAGGTGAAAGTAGCCGTGAGAATTGTGCGGCCTTCACTGGTTTCATAATCTCGAGCAAGGTCCAAGTGCCGTGCCCCACAGCCTGCTCCGAGCAAGGCATCCTTGTGGACGGTCAGCTTGGAGTCGATCGTGGCAAAGGGGCCCGTGCCTTCCCTTGGCCAGCTCGAGCGGAGCAGGGACTTCCCACGTGCCTGAGTGTGCGTGTAACTTGTTGGATAGCTGAGGCCGGTGAGGCTGTCAGGATATGTGGTCCTTTCAAGTGTTAAAATAAAGACATGTGTGTAGAAAACAAAACCTGCCCCTTATTTGGTCCCACTGTGGCCTGTTCTCCATCTGCCAGAGGAGCAGAGAGCAGCCGTGCCAGTGCCCTACCTCGGTCCTCCAGTGGTTCCCCAGCAGGTCAGAGCAGAGGAAAGCTCCTTACTGCGGACTCAGTCCTCGGGGAGCCCCCCGCTTCCCGCCCAGCCCCCTCCCCGACCGACTTGGCGGCACTTCCTCTCTGGGCCTACGAGTTCATTCTCGCATTGGGATTGTTTTACTGTTTCTTTCATCAAAATGCTCTTTTCCTTTATCTTGGCCATTCTCTCCTCACCACTCAAGGTCACTATAACTTTGTCCTAGAACCCCATGCAGACCCATCAGCTAAAATGGGAACTGGTACCTGGGTCTTCAATGAACACTTGTTGAATGAATGGCTGAAGAGAGTCTAAATATTCAATCAAGCTTCCGGGCACCGAAACAGTTGTTCCAACTGACCCGTACTTTGCGACGGCAAACAACCCCCGCCCCCCCCAACCAACCAACCACCTCCCACAAAAATCCCACCCCAAACCTCCTTGGACCATACCACTTAGAAAGTCTATGTTCTGTATCAGCTGTTGCAAAAAATGGGAAACAAAACCTAAGCCTCAGTGATAATGTACTTTTTGTGCATCCAACCAAACAGTACTGTCCCCTTAGGAAACTCTTTTCACCTTAAGCCAGCCCTCCGTGAACTGGGGCACAGAGCTGGGGAATGGCATTCTTTCCTAGGAGAGCCCTCACTCAGAGCCTCTTTCCCTCTACCGAAAAGCAATTTTATAGCTGTCTTTGCTACCAAAATAAGTGATTTAAGACCAATCTCAGTAAAACTCATCAAACTACTGTTTCGTGCCAGTGAGCAAAGGAAGCTTGGGATGAAATGGACAGCAGCCAGTCAAAATGTCAACAAAAAGTTCACAAACTTTGAATTTTGTCAAAATGAAGCTCAGAAGTATCGACTTTTATGGCTCAGGCCATTATAAATCTTACATAAACCTTCTAATAGACCTTAAGAAAACAGATCAGTTGTGGGGGTATAATTACTTGGGCTAAATTTTTGTCTAAGAAATATCAATGTAACTATGACTGTTAATAACTATTTAAACCAAGCTGTTCCTTCTTCAAAATTTTTTTACTGTGTTTAGCTAGAAAAGAAAGTATTGATGAATGCATTCTCTTTGTAAGGTGACTGTATTATAAACAAGAGTAATAGCAGCAGGACTAAACTCTAGGTGCAGGCAATCAAATTTGAATGGTACAAGGATAAAAAATACATAGGGAATAAGGCCTCTAAGTGACTTTAAATCAGATGGCAATACTGTCTAAAGCAACAGTAACATCATAAATGTATGTACGCCTACGTACATATAAGCATATACAGAGAGAATGAATGAGTAAGTGAACGTGTGAGTGAAAGAATGAGAATGTATATGAATCAGAGCAATCTGTCTTTGGGTAAATTACTTCACTATGAAGATGTGTCCAAACTTCTAAAGAATTTCCTGGTTTGTATTAAAATACACTTCAAAGAGACCATGTTAACAAATTTAGTTGACAGACTACAACGGGATTCAGAAAAAGACACAATCAATATAGACTTAGATATGATTTCATGCTGGTGATTTTTCTTTTTTAAAATGTAAGCCACTAATTTTTTGAGAAAAAATTTTAAACCAAAAGTTGCATATTAATATTACACACAAACTGAAACATGTGACTTTTAGCACAGTGTATACATGCTTACATAAACTCAAATATTTACACATTTAAAACAATTTCCATTTAACATATAAAGTTCTGAAATACATAAAAGCATTAATACTTTCTATAAAACTACAATTAGAACATCAATTTGCTACAAGCATATAAAACATCAAGTGCTTTCTTGGAGTTTCAAGTTACCTCTTTAAAACAAGATCTTGCTTGCATATATAGTCTGTCTCCAAAAAGCAGTATGAACTTTTTATTTCCAAGAGGTTTATTTTCCAGGTACATGATAAGCTCAAGAAAACGAACCCAACAATTATGCAATACCATTATGTCATAACAACTTAATTGCACATATGCTTTAAAGTAGGTTTGGATGAAGTTCTCAAACACTTTGGTATATGTTCTTCAGGGACTTCTATTAGAAATAACAGGAATTATGAGTCCCTTTAATCCCCATTTTGCTTTAAAATGGACAAATCTTTGGTTAAAGTCTACATTTTGGGCATTTGTTAATTAAAATGGTCCCCAAACCAATCAATGGCGCTGATGTATTAGTTCACAAGACTTCATTTAACCTGTTTCTGGTGCAGTATGATGCTCATTTACTACGACATGTCATTGATAATTTCAACTTTTCACTTATAAGCAGAGAAATCAATAGGGTTAGTCAGTATTTCTCTGTTCATTTTCTGTTATAACCTAAACTATACAGTAATTTGCAGTATCTATAGATACTGTTCCACAGTATATGTGATTATGATTGGAAAGATGTACAGCATTAAATTTAGAGTTAGCTTACTCAGAATAAGTCAATATTAGACTGTACAGTAACTCTGCATTGACTATAGTAGGTTGTCAGGTAAAGCTTATATTAAAACCCCAAAACCATTCCATTTACAAGAGAAATTGTTGCAAATGTATAAAACAGCAGATATACAAGGAGAACACCAAACATACTTTATTAGCACAAAAAAGCAGCCATAACAAGGCACAGCAAGCAGAAACGTACATTAGCAGTCCAAGGGTTAGTGTTGCATACAAATATAGCTTTTCTTTGTTGTAGCCTTGGCAACAGCCATCAGGATATAAAGTAACTTTCTGTAGCAGCAGGTAAGGAAACTAAGGAGCACTCACCAGTGGTACAGAGCACATTAACAAAAAGACACAAGAATGAATTTGACTACTTTAGTGCAAAATGTCTAGGACAGAACTGTAAATTCAGTTCAATACTAAGAAGCAAACACTACTTCCAAAATAGCTCACTCAAGTAGTATTGCATACTATTCTAAGTGACAAAAAGGTGCTAAGTAAAGTTATTTACAGATATAATGGTTGTACAGTACCTTTTAAATCTGCAATTTAGGCTTCAGATTTTCCATTAAAAATTAACTGCACTGAAATTCTATAAATTGTACTTAAGCAATTCAGCTATGAGTGTTTACAACAAAGAGATAAATACTGCCATCCAAATGATTACAATTTAACAATAATCTCAACATCAGCAACCACTGTAGTTACTATTTCTGACTTGTTTGGGCCTCTTCTAGTCTCATTTTCTTCATGGTTCACAAACTTGTCACGGGCATAGGAAAAGATCCAACATTAATAAATCAACAAATAGACTGCACATGTCAACTTCAAAATATCACACACAGACTACACTGCAGCAGCTATTCCCAATGTGTTTTAAATTAAAGCATTCATTAAAAAAATAACACCTAAGGCCTTTAAATAAAATTCTCCTACCAACTTTATAAGTCTGAAATTTTAAGAACTACTATTTAGAAAAACTGGTTTACTTAACAGTACCTTTTGCAGAAGAGAAAAGGAGACTGACTATAAACTATGTCAACACTTAAGTGAACTGCACTATGCCCTTGTGGCCAGAAAATTGCATTTAATTTATTTGTTTAAAAGGAAGGCAGTCTTTATTTTTTGGACTTCCAAAGCTTGATTTATAGTAACTACAAACATCACTACTTTTGGAAGGTTATAGAAAATTTTTTAGAAAAAAACAATAATTTCAAACATTAGTCACACTGTTGAAATAATCGTCCAATATTAACAATTTGTTCTTCAGTAAGAAATAGAATTCTTCATAGCAAATGCCCCAGAATTGCCTCTCTCAATTACTACAGCCATTAAAAACCAAACAGCTAATCGGCAAAATGTTTTTGTGGCATTACTGAACACCTGTAGTTCTATCCTCTGTTGTCTCAATAGACACCGTGTTTTCTGAGTAGGTAACAGCAGATCGCACCTGACAGGTGCTAACACTAAGCTGACACACTGTACTGAAGAAACCTAACACTGACACGTGTGCTTGCTATAGGTGTACTGTCTGACGCACATAAAAGCAGATCTAGCACAGGAGCGTTTACTTTGCCTTGACCGGTTCTCGTTCTAACCAGCGAACCCTCACTTTTTGTTTATAATGATACTCTTTTAGAAAATCCTGTAACATTGACGGCAAAGGGAGCCCATCAATTCCGTCGTACGTGGTGCACCTGCAGATCACTGCACGGCAGATATACTGCAAGCTGAAGGGGAAAGTCCTATTTAGGGAGATAGTAAGCAACGGTTCAAAGAACATGCAAGAGCTGGGGTCTTTATAATGCTCCAGAAGTCCGGTGACCGTGGAGGAGTGAAACACACACGGGTCGTGCGCGTCGAAACTGAAGTTGTGATTCCACTGCTCGATGCGCGCGTGCAGGGAGCGGTTGTAGCGGCGGAAGCTGACCGAGAAGAGGTAGTCCTCCTGCGCCGAGTCCCGCAGCAGGAACGTGCCCTCGGGCTTCCCCTCCAGGAGCGCCTCGGCCTCGTAGCGGTCCATCACGCCCCAGTAGCAGGGGTTGCCCGTGATCTGAAGCAAGTCGGGCACGAGGCAGTGAATGTAGTCGATCTGCGTGTGCACCTTCCAGGCGCCCTGCCTGCTGACGTGGGCGTGGCTGTCCCCAGACGCCTGGCGCTGCTTCGGCCTCCGCGACTGCAAGCACAGCGTGGTCGCGTCCTCCTCGGAGTCGCAGCCGGCCTGTGGGCCGGCGCTGTCCCCGCTCATCTCGGTCATTCCGGGAGCTAACTTTGGTCCCAGCTTGTATAACGGGTTCACCTGTGCCGTGGCCTCGAAGGTGTGGATCTGCGCGTTGGGCGGGGGGTCCACCCCTTCCTCGATGCTCAGCCGCCGCCTCTCTCTCAGCCGGTCCTCTTCGTCCTCCGTGGAAACCAGGGACGGGTCAAAAGTATCAAAAAACGTCGAGTGTGGGCTCACGGGGGCTGTATGCTGCTTAATCAAATGCCATTTTTGGGCTAAATCCGAGCCCGCAGGAAACGGGCATTTCTCAAGCATCAGCTCGGAAAGGTGTATTTTCCTTTTATTGGAGAAGAGAGGCTTGGCCTGCCGGCTGT